AATAACCACACCATTCTTTTTTTCCAAGTTTGAAGCTATAAAATGTGTTCCTAATTTTGAATTTATCAAATATTTTTGATCTTGTGTTCTGACATGAGTTTCTTGTAAACAAATTATATCATTATTAAATTGTTTCAAATATGTAAATATCTTCTTCCTTTTCTGTGGTGAGTTCAGTCCATTCACATTCCAAGATAAAAACTTAACCGTCATGTATGCCTTTTTGAAGCGACGAGCAGAATTGCCGGATGTCTTCCGAGACCTTCGGCTTTGCTCCCCCCATGGCTTCACTTTGTTGTGTAGTACTCTTGACTCCTTTTTTATATTGTTGTGCCTTAGCTCTTTCTTGTAATTGTTTTTCTTTGAGTTGTTTAGAAACTGCACGAGTTATTTGCTGGTCTTTGGCTTCGGCCATACAAGCTAGGTCCAAGGCCACATCTCTTGTAGTCAAAATTGGAGAAGATTCTAACAGGGGCTCTTCCAGATAACCTCCTACAGCACCCTGCACTTCCATTGGCTCTGATTCAATCTGCTTAGGCTGCTCTTCCAACTCTTGCTGAAATTGCTTCTCCTTATCGCTCTCCTTTATCTCCAACACAGTAGATGTACGTGGAGATGGTGATCTCTCCTTAAAAACAGTATAGTAAAAATGTTCCGCCTTTTCAACAGTATTCAGTCGATATCTTTCTCCATTGTACTTCAGGATTATACCAGTTGGGGCATCCCACCGAAATGGAATCTCTAATTTTTTCAATTCATTTACTAAAAAACCAAAATCTTTTCTATCTTTCAACATCTTTGGCAGAAGTTCTTTGTAAATTCCAATTTGAGTTCCCTCCACTTGCACAGAAGAAAGAAAAGATTTTTGCAAAATATCATTTCTCATTCTTCTATCTGTGAAATATATCACCACATCTCTAGGCAGTTGTCTTTGTCTGGCCACCCACGAATTCACTCTGTAAATTTTGTCTATTTTGTAAAAAATCTCATCAGAATTGATTTTTAACAACACAGCCAAGGCATCAGCACAAACCTGTCTCAAATCTTGTCAGTCATTCTCCTTAATACCTCTGAGTCTTATAGCAAATTCCATAGACCGGAATTGCATCATCGTAATTTCATTTTCAACTCTCTGCATTTTATTATCCACATCAGAAATTTTAAAATCAGTATCCTTTATTTTGACATTCACTTCTGATTTAAATTCTTCCAATTTAGAGTCCACTTTAATAATAATTTCTGACAAGCCAGAGACCACATTTGATAGTTTATCAGTCACCTTGCCATAATTCTCTTTCACCAACTTTTTCATTTCAATAATTTCCTGCTTGATTTCCTGTTGAGATTTTTGGAATTTATCATCCATTTCCTGTTGAGATTTTTGGAAATTATCATCCAGAGCCTGAGTAATAATTTTTTTTAAACTTTCAAAATCAAAATCTGTTTTCTGACTCTGCTGAGCAGAAGAAGACTGCTCTTCAGGCTTGTGTGTGGGGGATCCCCCCCCTGCTGCCTTGCCTTTCTGTTTTTTAGAAGCCATTCTGCCATGTAGATTAGATTTTCTAAAAAAGGAAATCCTTTTTCCTTTTCCAGCACCCAAAGTCCTCTAAAAAAGTCCCCCAGTTTTAGTCGAGTTGGAAATAGAATTAAACTAAAGTGAGCTCAGCTTATTTTAAAAAGGATTTTTTTCTCCTCTTCTCCTGTTTGCTTGCTACAAGCAGCGCAACAATGTAACTTATTAGAGTAGCTTTACAAGACCATTCTCCCTTTCAGCTTGTTAACGCTGGAGCGGCGCCATCTTTTCAAGCCGCTTCCGCTCACTCTAATTTTTACTTAGATCGGAAAGTCACAAAAAAAGAAAGATACTTGCAGTTTCTTAGTTTAAAGGTTCAGGTTATTTTGTCCGCTAGTTAGAAAAGTTGCTTTCAATCAATTTAGATGTTTGCTGCAGCCGGCTTGCTCTGCAACAAGCAGAGTCGTCCCACGCTGTCCGGAGTCTCCGCAAGTTGAAAGGGAGCCGTGCCTGTTTCCTCCCCAGTAGCAAACTTCTGGGGGCTCACAGGGGCTCGACCTGCGCCTTGCTTACTCTTCTCCTTCAAATCCTGCAGATTCTGGAGTTTTCAAGCCGCTTCTCACAATCGAAGCGGCTCTACAAACGGCGGGGCTGGCGGTCCTTAGAAAGGGACTGTCTTCACCGGAGGCAAGCAAACCGGAAGTCATACATGGATTTTTAATTTGAATATATAGATTCAAATTTTTCTTTCCAATGCTAACAGTTTAATCTTGCTTAATTAAACAGCATTTATCATTTAGTGACACTGAAGTCCTAAGTAAAAATGTTTTCTCTCAGTTTCTCAGATTTTAGTTAGTATACTAAATCTAAATATATGATAAAATCACATTAATTAATCATGATAAAACAGCAGTCTATGTTTGATTAATAATTATATTAAATTACATTTATTTAATAATTTAACAATTAATTTGTTATTGCTGTGCAGTCCAGAAGACTCTGAGTGGCTTACAAAAAATCAAAACAAATCTAACAAAAATAATTAAATCAGCTAGAACCCCCATAAACAGGTAGGTTGAACTGAAACAACTAGAACAATAAACAATATGCCAATATGATAGGGCCTGCACCAAATTAATAATAACCACATTAATTCCAGGCCTGAGAACAGAGCCAGATCTTAAGGGTTTTCTGGAGGAGCGCCAGCTGTATATCTAGGGAGATACTTTTCCAGATGGTGTGGGTTCAACAAAGAAGGCACGTTTCCTCAATCCCTTAAGAAGGCAACATTTAATTGAAAGGACCTGAAGCATACCTACTCTGTTGGAACGTATTGGTTAGAAAGAAACAATTGGGGATAGGCAGTCCCTCAAACAATCAGACCATATGACATGAATGGCTTTATATATGGCAATCAGGACCTACTATTGCATCTGGAAACCTACTGGTAACCAATACAATTTACATAGCAATGGTAATACATAGGCACAATCTGAGGTGCCTGTTAATGCTCACCTATTGCATTTTGTACCTTCAGGATGGTCTTCAAGGATAGCCCATATTCTTGCATGGAGCATTACATTAATTCAGTTGTTAGGGGACCAGGTTATGAATGAATATTTGAATGCCCTCCTGGTTAAAAAAAAAAAAAAGGCACAAATATTGCACAAGGCGAATTTGTGCATTGACTTGCTTGGCCACAGCTACCACATACTCTTCTAGTCAAAACTGCAAATCCAGTACAACTCTCAGGTTGCATAGACTTGAATGGGAAATTGTAATACTATCCAACACCAACAATGGAAATCTCTCTAGAACAAGGGGCTGAAACAAGTACAGTCACTCAGTTTTGTCAGGATATTCCTCCAAGCCTATTTCACGTATCCACACCAAACATTCTCCAGGTCAATACACTGACAGGTTCATCTGTACAGTCTGACATGAAGATATAAAGTTGGGTATCATTAGCTACATTATCTCACTCAGATAATTTAGAAATGTAGACATTAAGTAGGAGGGAAGACCATGTCAAAAGCCACTGAAAGACCAAGAAGCACAAGAATTGATTCACCAAACCTATCCCAGCTCCATCAAAAGTCATCAACAAATATATCCAGTGCTGCCTCCATTTTATATCCTAGTCTAAAACTCATCTGAAACTACTTTCTATAATCCATTTATAGATCTCTGCAATTGCTATCCAACTACTTTTTTCCACAACTTTCCCCCCAAAAATGTAATAACTGATTGAAATATTACCTAAAAAAGTTTCCCCAAAAAAGGAAGACTAAAAACTGGCTGAGAGGTTCAGTAATGCCCTCTTAAAGAGAAGGGACATTACTGTTCACTCAAGGCTGGCAGTATTACTTTTTCCTTCAAATAATTTCCTATTGAGCAGGCCATGTATGTATCCTATTTTTTAACTTATGATCTTTATTTTTAAAAAAGATGAATCATATTAGCCAGATTTAGTTGTCTCTGAAGAATGCCTAGAAGAAATCCCTAAGGAGTCTTTATCCTTGTTCAGATGAACATTCAGAATCAAAGGAGCACTTCTTTATTCAATCTTGGTACAAAGTTTTGAATTAACACTTCATCAATCCTTCAAAACCTTTTTTCAAGGACAGTTATCCAGTTTATAGACAATATTTTACTTCAAGTGTCTAACAGATCTGTTATTCTTAGTATTTAATACCATTATTTATCTTAGACTAAATTCTTATTAGGGTTTGTTCTACCTGTTTATAGAAATTTGCACTGTGTCTGCTTATTTCACAAGCACAACCACCAAAACAAGATTAAAGAAGATCTTTTCAGAATGCTTACTGCAAGCCCTGACACTGTTTTGGGAAGGATGAAATGGAGTTAAATGTGAGGGGCCCAAGTTCTGCCAATTGACTTCTGTTGGCTTTTATATCACTGTCTAACTTAGGCTAAGATTTAGGCCTAAATTCAATTTTAATAATCATAATAATTATAGTTTAGAGACATATATATGCGTTGGTTATGTATTTAGCCTTTCAGAATTATAATTCTACAATTTTTAAATATTTGATTTTATGGAGAAAAATGAGAAGGCAGATAATTAGGGTTTTCACAACATGCAATCTTGGTATGAATTGGAGCCAGCAGAATCTCTTACCAAATAGAGAAAAAAAATGTAAAAGTAGATGTCAGCAAAATATTACATTTCAGGTTGTTTGCTGATGAATGTTGAAAATATATACAAAGAAAAATGTTGCACCTCTCTGAGATAGACAATAGATAGCATGATGATACACCATCAGGCACACTTACAGGTAGATCAATATCTATCTAGTTAAAACTGTTGCTCAGTCTTACACTCTACTTTTTTTATATGAATCCTTAAAAATGAGGCAAATAAATATCACCTAACTATATATACCGTCAGCATTATACACATATGAATAAATTTTTAAATAAGTTGGGAACATATGGGCAAATAACTTATAAAAAATCTACATACCTGACATGCTGCTGGGAGTCAAAAGAAAGTAATCATTCTCATTCTTCTCCTTCTCCAGTGTCACCTGTTTAAAAAATAATTTTGTCAATATTTAATGAATATAATTTTATTACATATTAATATGCAAGAGCCGTTTTGGAAGCAGGATGTTGAATGTTAAGAATTTTTTTATAGTTTCTGCTATTTTGAAAAGGATTTGTTTTCCATAGGTTGGAAATGTGCATCTAGGTACTATTCCCAAGTGCCTTTGGGAATATCTTGAAACTTAGATGATCCTTACTTATCAACTATTTCATTCAAAGGTATGATGGTGGTAAAAAAACAACAACCTTATGACTAATGTCTGCATTTATGATCTCTGCAGCACTTCTCAATCCCATGATTACCTTTACAATCCTGTGTCTAACATGTTGTGACCCCCCCCCCCATAGACAGAGAATAGGGAGAAAGGGATTATAAAACAGTAAGCAGGCATACAATGAAAAATACATGGAACTTTTTGTATAGTGTGTATGTGGCTGCTAATGTCAGAACATTACTTTCAATGTCTTTTTCCCATCCTCCTTAGTCTCTTGCAATCTCTTCCTTCCCAATTAATGTAAATTCAAACATTAATTCCCTTCTTGCTGCAGTATATCAAAGTGAACATTTCAAAGGACGAAGGAGAATTATACATCTTTTCTCTTTCCAATATTCTTTAACAATTTCTTTTTCTGCCTTTTTATTTATTCGTATGTTATTTTATCTTCTTCCTCATCTTACTTACATACTAATTTACTAACGTATGTATGCATGTATGTATGTATGGTATTTATTTATTTATTTATTTATTTATTTATTTATTTATTTATTTATTGTCTTATGCACTGTGTTTTACTTTCACTTAAAGCAAAGATTGCTCAATGGACATAATATAATCACAGGTACAAACCCTAACCATAGGACAAATATCTTAGGGATAACTCTCAGGGATATTAGCCTCCAGCTCCACCATGTGGACATTGAAAATATTCATGTGGAGAATATTGATGGTTGGTAGTCTACATAAAGCACTATGGACATACGCAGATTAGAATTAGGAAATTTTCTGAAGAAAGGAAGATTGCATTCATGTGATCAGAGCTAACTCTGAACATTCTTGTGATATGAGTCATATGGCAGTTAACATTTTGCCCAAAGAAAACAAAAAACATACCAATTTGCTTGTTTTTCCATGTAGAAAGGAAGAAAGAATATGAATGATCAACAGTTTTTGTTTTTTTTTTGATACGGTTAAGGTTTCATTATACCTCATCAATCATGTTTCAAGAGACAATACTTCTTTTTCTCTCATCTAGACAAAAATGTCTCAAGACCTTTGTGTGGCTTCTGTACCAATCCTATTTTTTCCCAAGCAATTTTTATTTTACATTTTTATCTTTGACACAGCTTCCTTTCCCATTCTACAGCTCATAAAGCTGTGGCAGTTGTATTTATTTATTGCTAGGAAAGTTATGATTGATGACAGGAAACAAAATCTTCCCCAGCTAAACACTTGAAATCTTTAAGCCAAAATTTCTTGTGTTCAAATTTTATGATTTGGTAAGGTTTGGGGCAAAGGTGACTTCTGATCTTCTCTTGAAATTTACCACAGAAATTTGCAACACAACCAGCAAACCACAAAAACTATGAAAATACTTTTGTCTACTAAGCCATCTATGACTTTCTGTCTGAAATCAATACTTTCTACTTAAAAGTGAACTATGCTTGCATATGATAGCTAATGATAAAAAGAAAACAACAAAATATTTTAAAATATTCTCTGTGGGGGCTACCCTCTGGAATCAGCTGCCCCCAGAGATAAGGAGAATCCAAGACCTCGGTGCCTTCCGCCGTACCCTTAAAACCTTCTTTTTCCAGCAAGCCGGGCTGGCCTAACACTTTTTAAATGTTTTAATTGGTTTGCTACTGTTTTTAATTATGGGGCCAAATTTATATATATCTTTTAATGGTATTTTAATATTTGTACTCCATGTTTTTATGTGGCTGTACACCGCCCTGAGTCCTTAGGGAGAAGGGCAGTATACAAATTCAAAAATAAAATAAAATAAATAAATAAATAAATAAAATGATAATTTAACCTAAGATAAACATTTCTTGAACAATATGATAAGAATTTAGCAAGTTTAACCTGCCCAGAAATACTTAGTATACTCTCAAAATTCATTGGGTTATGTTATAAAATAAAAGCATGTATTTCCAGTTATTGTCCTTCTCTGAAATAGTTCCTTCCCATGATATTCAAATCGCTTTCTTCCTGATTTTCAAAAAGTTATTTTAAAAGATGGTTATTCTGTATGGATACAGTGCTGCTGAAACTATTCATCTTGTGTTTCAATTCTGAACATTCAAATTCCCAGTTTATGTCTGGTAAACTGCGATTTGTGGTTTTTAATTTGATTGTTTATTATGAATCATTTCCTTATTACATATCCAGATCCACTAAATATATAAAGGAAACAAAAGTAAATACAATGAAACAGACTAGGAACAAAAAAGCAATTTGATATCCTACTTAATATAAACAGTAATAAGACCCATGCCAATTTATTGTTAACAAAGTTTAACTTCTACAAATAAGTGGCATCTTATACTTAAACAATATTTGTCTATCAGAAAGCATTTCATATAAAATTCATCTAGTGTTCAGAAAATTGAATCTATAGAACTCAATTAAGTTTTACTGTATATAAGGCCTATGTGATAAGAACTAATATCATTAAGGGATAAATCCTTAGTAATATCATATACTAAATATAGTAACATACATTAAACTTAACATACTTTTATTTATTTATTTATTTATTTATTTATTTATTTATTTATTTATTTAAATTTGTATACCGCCCTACTCCCGAAGGACTCAGGGCGGTGAACAGCCATAAAATAAAACATGTAGATACAAAATTTAAAATAGAGATAAAACTAATTAAATAAATTTGGCTGAGACATTTTAAAACCCCAATAAATTAAAACCAAATTTAAAATTCCATTTAAAAGAGGAAAAGTTTAGGTCAGGCCAGCTTGATGGAATAAAAACGTCTTAAGCGCGCGACGGAAGGTACGCAGATCCGGAATCCTCCGTATCTCCGGGGGGAGCTCGTTCCAGATCGTAGGTGCCCCCACAGAGAAGGCTCTCCCCCTGGGGGCCGCCAGTCGACATTGTTTGGCCGACGGCACCCGGAGGAGCCCCTCTCTATGGGAGCGTACTGGTCGGTGGGAGGCTATTGGTGGCAGCAGGCGGTCCCGTAAATAGCCAGGTCCTAAGCCATGGAGCGCTTTGAAGGTGATAACCAAGACCTTGAAGCGCACTCGGAAGACCACCGGGAGCCAGTGCAGCTCGCGCAGGAGAGGCGTTACATGGGAGCGCCACGTTGCTCCCATCACCACCCGCGCGGCCGCACTCTGCGCCAGTTGGAGCCTCCGAGTGCTCCTCAAGGGGAGCCCCATGTAGAGAGCGTTACAATAGTCCAGACGGGAGGTGACGAGGGCATGAGTGACCGTGCGTAACGAGTCCCGATCCAGAAAGGGACGCAACTGGCGAATCAGGCGGACCTGATGAAAAATCCTCCCGGTCACGGCCGTCAAGTGCTCTTCTAAAGACAGCCGTGAATCCAGGAGGACACCCAAGTTGCGAACCCTCTCCGTGGGGGCTAATGCTTCGCCCCCAATAGTCAGCGATGGCACCAGCTGACTATATCGGGACGTCGGAAACCACAGCCACTCGGTCTTGGATGGGTTGAGCCTGAGCCTGTTCCTCCCCATCCAGATCCGTACGGCCTCCAGGCACCGGGACATCACTTCAAGGGCATCGTTGGGGTGGTCTGGGGTGGAGATGTACAGCTGGGTGTCATCAGCGTACTGATGGTACTCCACCCCGAAACCACGGATGATCTCACCCAGCGGCTTCACATAAATGTTGAACAGAAGGGGCGAGAGGACCGATCCTTGTGGCACCCCACATATAAGGGGCCTCGGGGTCGACCTCTGCCCCCCTGTCAACACAGACTGCGACCAGTCAGAGAGAAAGGAGGAGAACCACCGTAATACGGTGCCTCCCACCCCCAACTCTTCCAACCGGTGCAGCATGATACCATGGTCGATGGTATCAAAAGCCGCTGAGAGATCTAATAGGACCAGGACAGAGGAACAACCTCTGTCCCGAGCCCTCCAGAGATCATCCACCAACGCGACCAATGCCGTTTCCGTGCTGTACCCAGGCCTGAAACCTGACTGGAACGGATCTAGATACGTCGTTTCATCCAGGTACCGGGGAAGCTGTCGTGCAACCACACTCTCAACAACCTTCGCCACAAAGCGAAGGTTGGAGACTGGACGATAGTTAGCCAATGTTGCCGGGTCCAGGGAAGGCTTCTTGAGGAGAGGTCTCACCACCGCCTCTTTCAAGGCGGCGGGAAAGACACCCTCACCCAATGAAGCATTTATAATCCCCTGGAGCCAGCCTCGCGTCACCTCCCGGGAATCCAGCACTAACCAGGAGGGGCACGGGTCCAACAAACATGTAGTCGCATTCAGTCTACCCAGAATCCTGTCCACGTCCTCAGGGGTCACAGAATTAAACTCATCCCAGATAACATTCTCAGGACCTGCCCCCGTCATCCCCGCTGGATCTACCCAGTCAGAGTCCAGATCTTCCCGAATCTGAGTGATTTTGTCATACAGATACTGAACAAAATCCTCGGCTCTTCCCTGCAAGGGGTCCTCCCTCGCTTCCTGGTGGAGCAGGGAGCAGGTCACCCTAAACAGGGCGGCCGGGCGGTTATCTGATGACGCAATAAGAGCAGCAAGATAAGTGCATTTTGCTGCTTTTATTGCCACTAGGTAATTCTTAATATGAGATCTTACCAGTGTCCGGTCAGATTCAGTACGACTGGCCCTCCAACTACTCTCTAGGCGTCTTTTCCGGTGCTTCATCTCCCTCAGCTCCTCAGTAAACCAAGGAGCCAGGTGAGATCGACGCTGGGTCAGAGGCCGCAAAGGCACGACTCAGTCCAGAGCTCCAGC